CTTTTTCTTTTTTAAGTGTAGACATAAAGGTCCAAGGTCAATATTAGAGACTCTTGAATGAATAGATGTTATTAGGTCATTTTTATTTATTATAAATAATAGGTAAAATACTATTTTTAAAATTATAAATTTTCATATTTTTAGAAGGAATATATATTTGGTGATTTGATGGTTTAGAATATATTTTTTATAACTAATGGTGTGTAGAGTTGTCAAAAAGGATCATCTCAGCTCCACCCATATCCAAATCTCAAGGGTCAAGGAATTTGATGGATTAGGGCGGGCCAACCCTTCATTCGGAAGGGCCTGAAAGTACTCAACCTTACCTAATCCTAGAAGGATTGCGGGCTGGGGCGGGCTACCTTTTTTTTCATTTTTTCTTTTAAAACTTAAAATTCTATAACATCAAGAAAATGAGAGGATTTTCAAATCAAATATGACAAACAATGTGTTGTTGCAATAACAGTAGCAAAACTCTAGTTGATTAGCATATATCTAGGACAATAGATACACAAGATACATATCTCTGGTGTGATGCATCCTAGATACACGAACGAGATTAGAGGGAGACGAGGATGCGAGATTTGTCTATGCATCCTAGATTTATGCAAATTCACTTGAATTGAGTGTATCTTGAACAAATTACGCCTAATTTTGAGTCCATTTATCTGGACGCACCAAAATCTGATAAGATTCGTAATATTACAACATAGCGCTCATTTAAGTAATAGTTTATACACTAGTGAGATTTTTGTATGTTACCCTTAAATAAATAGTTTTGGACCATGGGTCGACCCTAGGCCGACCCCGATTAAGCCTCAAGGACCAAGGGTTTATATGAACCAGACTTATAAGCCTTAGTTTTAAATGAGTTTGAAAAATCCTATCCCAATCCTATTCTAATGACATGTTACATTGGGCCGACCTCATGGATTAAGCCCATTTTGACAGCTCTAATGGTAGGGGTGTACAAAACCAAACTGAAAATCGAACCAAACCGCAAACCGAAAAAAAAACCCGACTAGTGGTTGGTTTGACTTGGTTTTGGTGTTGGAAAAAAAACCCGACTATAATTGGGTTGGTTGGTTTTAACTAAAAAAAACCAACCCGAGACCAAACCAACCCGACATTATATATATAATTTTAAAATTTTATTTTATACATAAAAATATTTACTTTGATATAATTTTTAAATATTTCTTATACTTTTTCATAGTTTTTATCTTTTAATATATTATTTCAAGTTTGAAACTTAGAATTTTGAATGGATCCATAAAGATTATAGTCCATAGATGTTGGTAATTATAATAAAACTTAAATCAAAACCAAATTAATACTAATGCAAAAAGAAAATCAATTTTAACACTAAGAATGACAATAATATTGAATATTTGTCTTTTGATTTTACATTGGTTTAGACAATTAAGTACATAATCTAATTTTAATTTCCTTTAATATTTAGTCATGTAACTAATACTTATTAAACTTATTTTAGCATGATTTAGTACTTTTAAACTATGATCATTTTCATTATGACTTGTTAATTTGCAATATTTGTTTTACATGATTTTATTATTATTATGATTATTATTTTTTGGATATTTTAGTGTCATTAAGCATATCATTGTTTGTGTTGTATTCTTTAGAAACACCTTAGATAGTTGTATTTTGGTAGGACTGAAGAAATATTTGAAGTACAAGTAAATTATATGTTTGTATGAATACTTTAGCGGAAAAACCCGAAAAACCCGAAAAAATCCGAAAAAACCAGAGTTTTATTGGTTTGGTTTGGTTTATAGATTTAAAATCCGACACAAATGATTTGATTTGATATTAGAAAAACCTGAACCAACCCGACCATATACACCCCTATCTAATGATATGTATAATTTATAATTTGAAGGCTGAATAATTGACAATACCTTGTTTGCTAGTGGATTTTATTTGGACTCAAACTAAGATAACGGTATCTATGGATTGGGGCATTTCTCCTTGGAAAACTGACATAGATATGCTATTTTTAGAAAATATTTAGAGTATCATTTATAGCATGCAATAAGATTTTCTCTTTCACTCAACACTTACAATTCATTTTTATACAGTTTTAATATATATTACAAAGAAAAATTTATAAAATATATATAATACAAATTTTATTGACAGATAATAGATTTATCGTACATTTTAATATACTTATAATACATTGTGTCAATTTCTTATCAAATAAATATAATATATTTTTAAAACATTTATAATACATTTATATGATATGCATAATTCATTTTTAATACATAATACAAATTTATCATAGTATTGCTATATATTGCAATAAATATAATTAAAAAAATATCGCTATACTCAATAATTATTTATAAAACTACTCACTCAAGTAATTTTTTCGATATTTATCAAGTGTGTCTTTAGAAATGAAATTGAGATTTCAAACCAAACGTCTAATTTGCTGTTTTTTTTCTTTATTTTTGGATTTGAGTCTCGAGATTCAAATCTAAAGTCGTCTGTCTTCTTGTTTTTTAATTTATTTTTTCTAGAATTGGGCACACATTGACATTGGGATGGGGATCTCTTGTGTCCCCTCTTTATGTTTTAATTAATTATAAGTATTTTTCTTTTCTTTTTAAAATTTCATGTTTAGCACATTAAATTTATTTTTTTCTTTTGTTACTGTCATTATTTTTTTTAATAATTAAATCAAATTTCTATATTAAAATTCACATAAGCAGACGTGGTAACATATAGGCTCAATTGATGATCCCAATTTTTTAATGTGGCAGAGATACAAATGTGAAAACTTCTTGTAAAAATAATTAATTTTGAACATATAACTTCATAATTATAAAGAGTGCATGCTAAGAATTTGAAGGTTAAACTTGTTAAACATAAATTCTGAATATATTTTTCTTTGTAAGAAAATATCTATTTTCTTAAGATCCTAGATACACCTTTAATTATGACATGTTTTAATTGAACATCAAAAATCAAAACACATGATAAAGTGACAATTTCATAAATCCTCCTCCTTATCTAATTTCCTAATTAATGTAAACTCCCTTATGAGGTGTGATACTATACTTACTTCCTTCATTTTATTTTTTTAATATCTATTTTCAACTTTATTAATGTGAATAGTTATGCTTCATGTAGTAAATTTGGTAATTAAAACTACAAAAAATTGAAGTTAAATCACAAATTTCACTGTCGCTACTCGTTAAATTGCTCATACCTAATTAACATCATGATTTTTTCACAATTATAAAACCACTGAAAATATAAAGATACAATCCAATTATTATTGTTACTGCTCGCCTCTCCTTCTGCACACGGCCATATATAGTGACGGAGTTAGAAATTTCGTTAAGAGTGTTCAAACTTTAAAAGAGCCGATAATTTTTTTAGCAGAGTGGGTGCAGTGCACAAAACATTTTTTATTTTTACTGATGAGTGGATATACCCAAATTTAAAAATTAAATTACAATGTTTTAAAGTTTGAGATAACTGTTCGAAACTTTTTTTCCACATTTACCTTTTCTTTTAATAAGATTCTTAATTATTTTATATTTTCTAAAAGAATTGTTTAGAAATAATCAAAAAAAAATTAACTATTTTATATTTTCTAAAAGAATGTTTAGAAATAATCAAAAGTAGAATAATGGATGATAGTCTTTAAAAATAATTTATTGAGAGTGTGTTATACCTAATAATTCACTTAATATAGATTGAAAATATAAAGAAAATAATAAAATATTAATTATTAGGTTAACTAAAATTATTTGAGGCGAGAAACATAAAGAAGAAACGTAGGTAGTGAGGATCAAACCACAAACCTCAAAGACACAAATACTCACGCTTATCGCTAGACTTCAAGCCACTATTATTCAAAAGCATGTTCAATTTATTATATGTGTGCATATTAGACAATATTCTACCTATATACACCGTATAATTTTCCGGCGAAAAGTTATTCGCATGACCACCCTTGGCTGTAGCTCCACTCCTATCTATATATATAAATGTCTCTCACACTACAGTAATATAATCCAAATAAGATTCAAATATTATAACACTAATATGACTAACCAAACTCAGTAGGACGTCTTTTAATAGTACCCACTTGGATTAGAATCATATGTGTCAATAACAACGAATTTTGCTATTTAATATTAGCTACATTATTTGTCCATAATCATTTTTTTTAATAGTGTATACTATAATATCTTAAAGAGAAGGATTGAAAACACTCTTAAATTTAGCACGAATTATTAATTTCATCGTCGAACTATTGATAGCTTTAAAAACACCTCTTTACTTAAGTAACTGAACTTAAATACACCCTGATTTTGCAATCTGAGTGAATGTACCCCTAAATTCTTGTCAAGTTTAGCAGTGTTTTCAACATTTCTCTCAGCTTTTTATCAAGAGTGTTTCATGCTCCTACAAGAGTTTGAGAACACTTACTATGTTATGTGACATATTAGGGGGTGTCTAGGTGTATCTAATTAATTTAGTTAATCATGCAGAGAGATGTTTTTAAGACCGCCAATAATTCAAAAACGAAACTAATAATTTACACCAAGTTCAAAAAGTGTTTTAATACTTCTCTCTATTTTAAATTATACAAATTAGTATGAGAAAATACATAAAAAAAAACCTTTGAACTTGGCAGGAAAACTTATTTTAGCACTTAAACTATGCGGGTATTTAAATACCCTTAAAACATCTTTCAACTGAATTAAGTACCACCTTATATATACACTACCAGTTTCATGGATGGAAGGTGATAGACACGCGCCACATAAGCGCCACCTCATTGACACGTTGACAACACGTCAGATACGTTGACAACACATAGTGAACGAATTTAGTTTTTTTCCACTTTTTCCCCTAATCAACATGGGTAATTGGAAATACAACTGTATAAAGAAAAAAGAAAGCAAAAATAAAAGAAAAGAAGTTGAATGAGCAAAAAGAATCTTGTCCAAGAATAATGAGTAATTTTCCGGTCATCGGAGATTTATATTATCTTTTGGAAGTAGGTAACTTTTTTTTTATTAAATGGGTTTGATATTTACAATTAATTTGTAAAACTTGTGAATTTCAGTAAAAAATAGAATTGTGAAAAACACTATGTGTTCGAAAAGAATTTCATGCTTCCTCTTTTCGAGAAATCTGAAGGTTTCCAACAACAATTGCTGGAGTTATTGTAGTCCTATTAGGCAAAAAAATGACAAATATGAAGGCTTTCGAACCTTTCACATGCCGGCAGAGGTTCGCCTGAACAATAGAAAATACTAAAACACATAAAAAGAAAGAAAAGAGGAAGAATGGAAGAAAGTCAGGGAAAAGTATCTGACCGGCGTTTTGTCCATGGGTGCCGGCGTGGTCAAATTTTTTTAGCGAGATCTGATGGTCTCACGATGGCTGATCTCTCGAAGCTTTAGTAGTGATGAAGGAGGAACAAAAGGGGTTGGCCGGTAGGGTGAGGTCTGTCGTGGTTGAGCTTCATTGAATTCGCTAATTAAAAATGTCTTAGGTAGTTGACAGGTCTGGCCGGCGGTGGGATAGAGAAAGAGTCAAGGTCGCAAAAAGAAGACAAAGTGGGACCCATTTACTTTTTCTCTTCAACTTTTGATTGTTTACGAGCGGATAACTTTTTTATTTGCCACGTCAGCTGCTAAGGTGATATTTGATTCAGTTGAAAGATGTTTAGGGGTATTTAAACACCCGCATCGTTAAGTGCTAAAGTAAATTTTTCTGCTAAATTTAAAGAATTTTTTTTTTATGTATTTTCCCAATTAGTATAAATGTCTGTTTATAGTCTATACTGCATCAATATATAAAGGAAATACTTGAAAGTTGAATCCATATAGTATAATATTTTGATCAGTCACCTTTCAGCATTAATGTTCATGCACGTACATATAAATTTTCACAGCCTTTGAAAATGACCTTTTACATTAGCACCTAAAAGAAGAAGAAGCCAACATGTAAAATGGACATCATATTTTCAGTGATTCAACAGTTGATAGCACGAATGTGGCTTTCTCGATATCCGTGTATTTCTTTATCAACAAGTATTTGCAGAAACGCGTAATGTTTTGCCTCATCATTATAATCATCCGCTCATGCGTTTATTTTATTTGTCATGCTTCATTTATACATAATTAAATAATACATAATATTTTAAGATATATTTTTATAGTATTCATATGAGAAGAATTATAAATTTTAGTATTTTTTGTATAATTTTAGAAAATCTTAATTTTAAATTTAAAATATTGAATTAATTTTATTCAATCTAAATTCGTAAATTAGTTGAATTGACTCTCATAAAATGAATAGAGGAAGTATCACTCACAAATATTTGCCTTTTTATAAAAAAAATAAATCAAAAATAATTGGATGTCACATGAAAACTGATAAAATAACAATATAAATATCAAAAGATGATAAATTAGATAATAAAAGAGAAATATATTAAAAAGAAGCCATAAAATTTATTGTAATTCTATCAATCGATCTATGTTCATGTACATAACTAAACAATTCATTATTATTCAAAATATTGAGAGAAATAATCTCAAAAAATTAACTCAAGAAAAAAAATTCAAATAAATAATATAATAATACTTGTATTTCATAAATCCTCTTGTAAATAAGACTCTAAAATCTTTAGGGTTATATTGTGAATAAACTTTATAAGAATTCAAAACTTTTCTTTCTAAAAGAAAACAAGTTTAGTTGATTATGAAAAAAAAAATATTTGTTAAGAAAAAAAATAATTATGATAAAATTCAGGACAATGTTCATCTTTTAGTTTGACTTTTATTATCAATCAACATTATTTAACTTATGTCTAATTATTAGATTTGACAGGCAAGTAATTAAGAAATGAAGGTTGTTAATTGTTGTAGTGTTTACATCATTGTAATGATACAAAGACTTTTTACTCAAAGTATACTTTATTGTTTCAAAGGTCCCAACTCCTCCCCCTAGGTCTAATAATTATTCTTCCCCTTGTTATAAATAATTCTTTTAAATTATTTGTTAATTTCTGAAATTAAAATAAAATAAAATAATAGAAAAATATTTTTCCCTTATGATTAATCATTTTAAAAATATATAAATATATTTGTAAAATTTTAAAAATATTTCTTGAAGAAAAAAGAAATAAGTGTGTAGACACAGAGTAGTGTTTTTTTTTTTTTTTGTTTAGTGGAAATCTATAACTAATATAAAACTAAAGGAGAAACTATAAATTAAGTCAACTAACTAGAATGTCATTCTCACCGGTTTGATTGATTATACAAGCAAAATAATCACCTTTTATTTTGGAGGCAATTCCCAAAAAAGTCATATTTGGTGAATGGCCTATTAAAATTATTTTGTATAAATTATTTAACTATTTTTTTTTTCAAAATATATTATACAGTAAATAAAGAAACTTTAATAATTTACTAGATTGATTGTAACATCTCGCAATTTAAAATAACTAGGAAGAAGCTAAGAATTAGAAATAGTCATTTTTGGAAAGAATGAAAATCTGGAAATTTGTTTAAGTTAGGAAAAGTTGAGTTTTGGTCAACTTCAAACGGCTATAACTTCTAGCTCATGATGAGTTAGAGGTACTTCCAGATATGGTAGGAAATCTCTTGGAATGATCCTTCCAACGCCGCCGCGTTTGCGCAAATCCGAGTTTGTATGAGTGAGTTATTCCCTTTGGAACTTGGGCTGTTGGAATAAGGAAAGTCCAATCCGGATTTTGAAAGGGTAGTTTGGTCTTTTCCTTACCCTTTTATTTTAATTCGTTTTTGGTAATTACTTAGGGGTCTAAGCTAAATTAGATCAGTTTACGGTTTTACCAAAAGAGTTAGGGTTTTGTGAGAAGAGAAAAGAAGAAGAGAAAGAAGAAGAATGTTCAAAATTCGTCGAGATCGTCGAGTTAGCTGTGGATTTCGTCAAGGGGGATCCCTACAAGGTATGTCAGATTCACATAGTGTTGGGTTAGTTCACCCACGCTCCAATCATTATTCAATTCAGCGAAATATGTTTGATTTGAAAGTAAATCCTTTGAGTTCTTGATGATATTCGTTTGAATTCTTGTGGGTTGTGTTGTTGGAGTTTCTTGTGGTTTGATTCATGTTTCCGGGTGTAGTTTCGGGTTGAATCTAATATATATTGAGAGTATAAGTGATTCTGAGTGTTTGGGGAAAGAACCATTGAAGTTTAGAGATGAAAAACGAGCAAGAAAAGTCGGAGTTCACCTGGGCAAGGGCTTGGGGAGCCGCGCCTGCCAGAGCGCCACAAAAGCTCTTCTGAACTTTGGGCTCTGGCGCATCGCGCCAGCCAGAGCGCCCCAACAAGCCCTATCAACTTTGAGGGCTGGCGCCCCGCGCTTCTCAGAGCGCCAGGGACACCAGTTCTCCCCATTTCTTCCCCACATTTTCGTACGTGTTCCTTAGCAATGCACCTATGTTTTCTAGTTGATTCCAACACTCTAAGGTACATCTAAACATCATGAAATCATCAATAAACATGAGATCATGAACCTTGAATCCATAATTCAATTCAAGGAAAGTTAAGTTCAAAGTCAAAATAAGTTAAGAGTCAAGTCTAGGAGTTAAGAAGCAAGTCAAAGTAAAGTTCTTAAAGTTTTCAAAAGTCTTTAACAATGTTTTAACTTTGTTTTTAAGAATCAAGTTTCAAGTTAAACAAAGACTAAAGAGTTGAGTTCATTTCTCAAAAAGCTATAAGGGAACTAAGTATTCCCAAGAGTTTAAAATGTTTTCACATTTAAATAAGAACGGAAACTGAGATTTCCAAGGAGCCTTCGAGCTAGTTTTCAGAAAAGCGTAATAGGTTTCTAAATGAAGCAAGAAGGGAAAACTGAGATTTCTAAGATAGCCTTTGAGCTAATTTTTTGAGTACTAATCTCAAATCACAGAAGAAGTATGTTTTAAAACATAAGAGCTAGTATATTTTGGGAGTAGTATTGAGAACTGATATGGGAATGCGAGTTCATATTAACTCAAGTCTCCATAAACCATGTAGCCATCATGGGTA